TCGCCGCCTCCGCGGCATCCACAGACATCACAGAGGCAACAACAGCCTCCTGAGCAGGTCCTCCAGTTCTCAGAACCCATACCCTCTGGCCAATCTCGACTTCATTCATTGTCCTTAGGTCAACTCAAAATCCAATATCCCCCCTAGAAACCATGCGTACTACACGCATGGTTAAAACAAACCATCTAAAGGAGAGTGGACCCGTATACAAATAAATAAAAACTAAACGGGAGAGACATGCATATATGCCAACATACACAAATAAATATCAGATTAATAATATAAAATGCTTAAAAGTAGTTAAAATGTAAAATAAATAGAGCCCAAGTTAAAAAGGTTAATCAATAAGTTAAAATCTATCTTAAAACTAAGCTAAAATATAAAATGAAATTAAAATCTATAGACTCTATTGCTTAAAATTAAGTTTAAATATATAAAATAAATTATGGTAAAACGTTAAAATCTATAAAATATCTATATCTATATACTATATATATCTATATATATATATCTATAGTATGCGCGTAGTAAGTATAGTATAGTATGCGCGTATAGTAGCGCATATATAAGAGAAAGTAGTGAGTAGAATTCAATAAAATTGACACTATATTATATTTTCACCCATACCTATCTTTTATCAAACTTTGGGCCAAATCGAACGAGCCCTTTCTGAAGTATTTACATGTCTAAAAAAAAAAAGTTTGTGCATGCGTAAGCGGAAGTGCTGGATGGAATTTGATAAAATTGATATGGGACCATCTAGGATCCAATCCGCATAATCCCTGAAAATTTCATGAATACCGATATTCATTGATTCATTCATATTTCATTCATTGATTCATATTCATTCAATCATCCGAATGAACGGTACTAGGTGATATGCTCGTCACATTGATTTGACAACAGACAGACACCGAACCAAATTTGATCCTTGATGTCTGAAATGTAAAACGCGAGTGGAAATTTTCGATTCTGAGCACAAAATTTTTTTTAACCTCTCACACGAACACAATGCTTCCCTACCTTCGGTAATGAGGAAGCAATAATAAAATCCTATACCACAAAGATTTGGATTAAATTAGTCAGTAATGTACGCAATGTTCTTTATTGTCTTTACAATAGACCGTATATATTATAAATATATATTACAAGATGACACTGCGCATATTGGAATCATACAGAGAATATTTCACAGAAGTACATCCGTATGGTAAAAAAAAAAAAGAAAAAAAAAGACTGCCAATTGAAGTAAAGCTAACGATGAGATTCATGGTTCAAATTGATCTTTAGGAAATGTGATGTATTGAAGTAATTATTTGTTCGTGTATAAATTAATTTAAAAATATAACATGAATAATGGAGCCTCAGGACCTTCTGAACTCTCGACTTCGCTGACCCAGAACCAACCCCTGCTTCACTAAACCAAGTCTCTTGACCTTTCTTTATCGCTCCTCGTCCTTCTTCTCTGATTTATAGATGAATTGATTTATTTAGTGCCGTTCCCTCCGGCTATTGTAGCTTAAATCTATTTGCCGGCTTGCAAACTTAAATATTTACTATTGAATCTGTGGTAAAACAGACTATTCATGTTGTATTGGTATATGAATGGACTGAAGAACACATCAGCTTTCACAGTTGTTTAATCGTTTTATCTTACACTTAAATAGGAAAACTTTGGAATGAAAAATAAATATCGTGTTCCCGTAAAAACCAGCAATTATATTCATTATTAACACAATAGAAATAGCTTAAAATCAACTAATCTTTGTAGGATGTAAAATTTTTCCCGAGGATGGATAATAGCACATTCAATTCATTTCTTTATTCTATTCCGATCCTATCACATCTTTTGGATATTGATTAATTAGCAAAATAAATTTTTAAAAACGATAAAAATTATTTTACAATGCTTTATTATTTGCCAACAATTATACATCTAAAGTAACCTTCAGCAACCCATTCAAAAATCAAAATCCAAAACAAAGGATTAGCAGTAGAACATAAAAAACATCTAGAAACTATATCTTTGCTCCTAATTGTCCGATTTTAACGATTTTTTTGTGATTTTTTTTAGGAAATTCATAATAAACTTAAAAAGAAAACATAAAACTTAAAATCTCCAATTTCGAGCGGGGGTAAGTTTTTTGAATTTTTCTTTTATTACAATGATTCATTATTGAAAATAATAAACCAAAAATATTTAAAAATTGCGATATCTTCACTAATAGTACTCTGATTTCGATGATACTTTCTTCGTTTTTTAATAAATTTTAATAACCTTGAAACATCATATCACAGTATCATAAAAAAAGTCAATACTTTTTGAGTTATTCGGAGTTTAATTTTACCACTATTAAACTTAACTAAAACTATTAAACGTAACTTTTTTTGCTGCTTCTTTTCGTTGAAGTATGTTATATAAATACATTTAAAGGGCATCAAGAAGAAGACATTAGCCAAGTTTCATTGAAATCGGTGTGATTTTTTAGACGCTACAGTCAATAGCAACGCAGGTTTTTCGGCAGCCATTTTGAAAGTAAAAGGCGAATAGTAATGTCGATGAAGAAGGATCATCCTCGGATGACCTCTAATTTTAAATCCAAATTTGAAAAAAATCGGTCCAGTTGTTTCGGTGAAAATGGGCGGAAAGGCGGACGGATAAAAAAAAAAATGTATACGTTTTTTCGAATCCTACGTATCCTGAAACGTAAAACCTCAAATTTTGAGCGGAGGTAAGGTTTTTGAATTTTTGTTCGATCACAATCGTTCATTATTGAAAATAATAAAACAAAATGTATAGAATTCTGTACAAAAATTAATAAAAATTAATATATATATATATATATATATATATATATATATATATATATATATATATATATATATATATATATATATATATTTATATAATAATAAAACTTGATCACCTTTTTAAAAAGAAAATTAAATAGTCCAGAAATTGATGAATAATATTTGCATAAAGTTATTCCAACTTATTGACAATTAGCTCACTGGTCCAACTTTGTACGCCTAACCTCTTTGGGCAAGAATATAAATTATAAGGTACTATTAAAATATAGCTAATTTGTATATATAGTTTGTCAACTCACCGAAGTGATCTAAAATTGCAGCCCCAGTAGCAATTCTTGATGTTCAAATGCCTTTGTTTAGACATAATATTTTGGTACATGCTACTATTCACTCATTCACGTCTGTATCTATATTATCTATCATGTCGATTTGGTAAGCATAGAGAATGTATGATATTAGCGGTAAATCTTTATATATAAACAATGTATACAGCTACAGTATGGTGTTTGTGACCTTAATTTAACAGCTTTATTTTATTTTATTTATTTTTTATTTTTAAGTAAAGTCGAATGAAGCAAGAAGTTTGCTATTCAGGCCGTTAAATTGTCATTGCAATTGAAAAATTATTTATAGATTAATTTTAGAAAAACAATATGTGGATATTTATTTAATTCCTAATGATATGTCTATTATAATATAAGATCAATACCTCGAGAATCAAAGTGTATTATTATAAAGTTTTTATAGACAAAACAAAAAATATAAAATCATACAACAATATTCAAATATTTATCAAATATAGAATTAATGAAATAAAATTATGGGAAAATATAAGTAGAATCTCAGTTTCTAAATAAATTGGTTTTTATTTAAATAATTAAACAGTTTATTAATCTTAATCAAGCTTCACTCTTAGCAATAAATACATGGAATTCTAATAACATTTTTTTTTCTTAATTCTATGGACACATTAACCCTCAGCCAAAGTTGAATTCATATTTTATTTTGTACATAGTTGAATGTCCACTATTAAATGCCCTGCAGATACCAATCTTATTAAATGTAGTTATTTTCAACGCATTAAAACACACATAATTAAAAGCTGAAAACTATTTTTATAAACAAATATTTCAGTAGTTTGCTGCAAAGGGCTGGTTCACTTTATAGTAAGAACAGTAGATACTACAAAATATAACATATAATTTGAATTTACGTCCGTTAAATATTATCCTTTTCATTTTTTTTAATTACCATTTCCGCTTATATACATCAATCTAAATCATTTATTAAAATAAATATTAATTCCTAACTAAAAACAAACAAAATATCATATAATTACAAATTTACACTAAAATTAAGCTAGTGACATCATTGTTTAAAAAATAAATTTGGAATCAAGAGGTACTTCTTTAAGCCGCATTCTATTCCCAAAATATTCAAAAGTTACAAAAAAAACAAATATTTTCATAATATAATTTCATCAAGTATATGTTAATAATGATAAAACAATTGTTTAGTTTTTTAATAATAATTTACTCTGAAAAAAATGTATGAATAAAAAAGACATTGGCCATCCTTCGAAACATAGAAGAAAATTACGTGAAAACATCTATATTTCACTTGAAACTATTATCAAAATAATATTGTAACCAACATACTAAGAAGAAACTATTTACAGAATCGTAAATATTTATGATAAATATATTTAAAATAAATAAATCCAAGATATACATATGCAATAAAAAGAAAAAAATACAAAAATATTGTAAAAGTGAACTACGAAGTTTCAACTTCGTTCCTATAAAAATTGTGATACGGGAAAAACGTATTAAAAAGATGCTTATGAAGCAACTCTGTGAAAGGTGGGAAAGCTGAGGTTCTGATTGGTTGAGTTGACGAATAAGAGAGTATAAATATAGCTTGAATAGTAGGGAGGGGATTATTTTCCATCTTCATGAACAACTTTCATACCTAACGTGATTTACTATATTTATTTTTAATATTTTATTTCAGACTTCTCATGGTGATTTTTAAATTTCCTGGTCATATTTAGGAATTGTTAACCATTTATACATTTATCCATACACATCAAGTATTCAGGCGTACAAGGTAATGATAACCATTCCAAGTTAAATAAAACCAATAAGCAATGTTTCTTGATTTCGCTCGATGCCTTATTCAAATCGTATTTACGGTACGACGTACTTGAAGTTGTAAACGGTGTCGGTGAGTGAAGAAGGAAGGTGGTCTCCGGAAGCCCTGAAACCTCCTTGATCGGCGACGTAGTTGACCCGGATGATCCTCCCGTCGGGTCCTGGGTAAGAGTAACTGCCCTTAACGGAGGCCACCAACTGTCCGTCTGCAGATGGCTCTATAACTGAGGATTCCTCTCTCATCAGTCCGTCTGCAGTCTCATATCTGTCGAACAGAAGTATATTTTTTTTTTATTGTTGAAATCAAAAGTTTTCACAAACACACCAAAATGTACTATAAATTATACTTATATTACGCTAATACTGAAACATCTCGTTAAGTTATAGAGTTTGAAAGATCAATAAACATTTGAAATCTTTTAACCAGTAAGAAACGCAGAAAATCTCCCAAGAAATGAATAGATTTTTAGACTAGAAATAAAAAATGTAATATCTATAAAACTATGTATAAAATATTTTTTTTTTTTACCTCTATTGATCGTAAGTAAAATACTTACAATAGAGATAAAGAAATATATTTTTTAATATAATTACTGTTATTCAATTTAATGTCCATTTAGTCTAATTTAATGGATCGTTTAGTCCACTAGATTAAACGATCGTTTTTAAACTTCTTAGATTTAAGTATTGATGATTGTAATTTTTTCTGGAAACGCGAAAAGCTATTTTTTCTATTAAAATTCTTTTTTTAAAACCAATATTTAAAAACACATACTTAGAAATTTTTTACTTATGGCACATATTTCTGAAAAACAATGACTATTTAATATAAATCAGATGAAAGAAGTTTGGTACTCAAAAAATTAAATAGAAAGTAAATTTGAAAACTTATTTATAATATCTTATAGAAAACAAATTATGCAAATATCGATTTCATTTGCAAATTATTGTCATTTTTAACATACAATTGAAAGTTGCAGTAGTTTTTGGCATGCTATTGTATAATTATAAGTCTCTTATAAACATGGAACAAAATTATTTAAAAAAAATTAAGAACTGATACCGAAATACCTTTCTGGTTATCTCTAGAACAATCACATAATACAAGCTATTTTAGCCCAATACAACAATACTAAAGCGAGAACGTGTATATCACAAAGAGGATATGAAATGAAAGTATTTGAGTGGAGAGCTTAAAAAAGCTAGAATAGTCAGTTTTGATAAAAAAAAAAAAAAAAAAAAAAAAAGACAGGGACCGCTGAAAGAGACCATATATCAAGATTGGCAGAAATTGTGGGACAAAAGCTCTCCAAATAAACCAAAGGTTATAAAAATGAATTAAAGCCATTCAGCATTTCAAGTAGCAGTAAAGGCAGAAAAAAAGTCGTCCTTACGCCAATGAATATAGGACATACTAGGCTTACGTATCTGTATTATCGTTCATAGACATAACCTTATGAACACACTAATACAAAATATGGCTACATTTAACGTGTCCGAAAACACGCTTAAGAGGCTCAAAGGAAGCTGGATGAGGAATTTCCTAACTTAAAAATATATCATGAGAAGGAGTTCCAAGGTCCAATAAATATTAAATTTTAAAAAAATAGTATCTTTAATTGTTACGTAGACGTTTCGACCCACCTTGCAGGTCTACATCAGGGCGTTGCATCAGGCACTACAGGAAGCAGTTGATAGACTGGCAGTTGAAACAGGGCTAGACCTGCAGTTGAATCAGGACTTTTTCCATTTATAACATAATCAGTTTTAATATTTTTTACTTGGATGATAGCTAATTTAGTATAGGTCTGCCTCCAATCACTTTCCGCTAAATTACTTCAGATTCTGAAGACCTCCTTTTTCTTCCAATTGAGGTGAGACAGACTTGGTTTAATATTTACCACGTTGAATATAAATATTTACAAATTTAGCGTTGGTTTATTAATGGTGCTTTATTTATCCAAAATATTCATCTATTTTTTATTTTTTTATACCTATATATCTTTAATTATGAGCATTTCATTATATTATATATTGGTATAAGAAAAAATAAATTTCAACCTATTTTAATAATAAGGGTGGTAATAGGTTAATAATATTTAACCTATGCACATTCACTATTTCACCAAAGTTCATTCAAAACCTGTTTTAACCGCAAGATGTAACGTGGTTTTATGGGATGCTAATCTGATTAGAGGTTTTGCAACGTGATTGCAAGATAATAACCTAGGGGCAAGTAAATCGCTTAATTTGTAGCACCTAGCTAAACACAACGCTTCGGCACATAAATTATTATTTATAAACGGTTGCATCAGACTATATTTTTTTTAGAAATAGTTTTCACCTGTTGATTAATTTTCATGGCGATCGAGGAGATAAGCGAAAGGCATCCTTTCCTTGCTGGAATTTCTGAGCAGTAGTATCATTGCAAGCTTTCCTTCAGAACGTCAAAACCTTTTTTTATTCCTCACTTAAGAATTTACGTTATGTGATTTTTTATTTTCACTTACGCATATATGTAATATATAGTAAAGGAAAGTATTGCGATCGTGAAAATTTTTTATTTTGTGTTTTCAATGGAAATTTTGAGGTCACCTGAGTCAAAATAACTAAGGCCCGCAAAATTGTCTGTGTGTAGCTATGCATTAAGTCTAGCTCAAAAACAAAAAGTCGTACGAAACTGATAATATGTATTTAATATAGGTATATGTCTTTAATGTGATAGCAAATTTTTCGTTAAAATCGACTAACTGGAAATGGTACTTTAGAATAACGGCTATATACATTTTAACAATTTTCTCAAAAACGGCTCACACGATTTTATTAAATTCAGTGTATCATTGTATAATTAAGTGGTCTTTAATATCATTGATGTCCCCATCGATTTCACTTTACAGGGCTTGAAGGTTCTACATGCCTTTCTCTAAAGTACCTTTAATTTGGTTAATTTTATTAATTATTATATTTTATTGATAATTAACCATCTCTCATCATTAAAAGTCACGAAAAAATGCTAAATTTACTTTTGAAAGAATTTGATTGAAATTGAAAATGTAGAAAAATGGAAAATGTTTATTTAGGTCGAAAATGAATTTCCGAAAATACTAGTAGTTTAAGCAAATGATGTTGTAGAGTTGGTGAGGCCTGTGTAGGGTCTTGATGTTTTGTGAGGATTGTTGTATCGTCTGCATATGTAGCTGTCAAGATCTCATCGTCAATAGGTATATCGTAAGTGTATATAACGTATAGTAGAGGGGCTAGTATTGAACCTTGGGGAACTCCGGCCAAGATTGGACCGACTGAAGACACTTCCAAGCCCTGCCGAACTGAAAAAAATCTGTCGAAGAGGAAAGATTGAAGGATAAGATAGTAGGTGTATGGAAGTATAGTCTTAAGTTTAAAGAGAAGACCCTGGTGCCAGACTCTATCAAACGCCTGAGCAACTTCCAAAAATATTCCAGTTGCATATAGTTTTTTTTCTAAAGCTCCAGCAATGTAGTCTGTAACTCTGTGCAATTGATGTGTCGTCGAATGGAATGTGCGAAAGCCGAATTGGCGGTCAGGTATTACCTGTTGGTCAGTCAATATGTCAAAAAGTCTTTTGTATATTAATTTTTCAAAAACTTTAGAGCATATAGGAAGGAGGCTAATGGGTCTGTAGGATGAAGGACTGTATATGTCTTCACCGGGTTTGTGAATCATCTTAATAAGTGAGTATTTCCATTGTAAAGGGAATTTTGACGTCCTTAGTATACAGTTGTAAATTGTTGTCAGAAATACTAGAGCTTTCTTGGGCATTTGTTGGAGTGCTTCGGCTGTTATTAAGTCATAACCAGGAGCTGTTCTTTTCGGTAATTGTTTGCTTTGAAGTGCAACCTGAGATGGAGTAAAAGAAGAAGGTGGTAGTGTCAGCTGAAGTGGGATGTCTAATGTGTTAAGTACTATAGTCTCATATTCTGTGTTAGTGAAGTTTGTAAACGGTTTAAATACAGAAGAAAGGTGGTGAGCGAAGAGTTCAGATTTTTCCTCATCTGACACGGTCCAGGATCCATCTTCTTTTCTAAGTGGTGCTGACAGCTCTCGGTGCTTTAACAACTTTTTGGTATGCTTCCACAAGTTCCCATCGTCAGTCGAAAGACCACTGATGTATGCGTCATAGTTAGTTCTCTTAAATTTTTGGATTTCTCTTTTAAGTTGATTGTTTAGTCGGTTAAATGTCTGTCTATCTGAAGGGCGTCTGTTAGTCTGCCATATTTTACGCGCTCTTCTCTTTGCTCTGATTAAGTCCCTTATGTACTGAGGATATTTCGGCAAGTGCTCAGTTGTCGCAGAGTTGAATTTTGGTATTGATAATGTCCAAGCAGCTTGTTGAATATTTTTGGTGAATGTTTCCACAGCCTCCTCCAGTTCTTTTTCACCTTTTATTGACACTGGGATCAAAAGCGAAGAGTTTAAAAACTCTCTATATGCATCCCAGTCAATTGGTCATTTGATGAGAGCATTTTTTGCACGTTGACGGCCACATCGAGTACAATAAGGTGTACCGCTGAATGATCAGAGCAAAGATCAGAGCTCGTACTTATGGAATGAGGTACAGTACGCAGTCCTTTTGTAATTAAGAAGTCCAAAAGGTCCGGGGATTTGAGTCTCCATACAGGCCAGTATATCGGTGTGTCAGGATTTATAGTGACTAATGAAAGCTCGTGGATAGCAGCCCTCAAATTTCTTCCTCTTGGTGTGCATAATCGTGACCCCCAATGTTGGTGCTTTGCGTTGAAGTCACCACCTGCTATGAAACATCGACCTAAGCTTTGGAAGAATTCGCAAAACATCGAAGATGTCAACACATATCTTGGAGGACAATAGATGGAAGCTAGTGTCAATGTTGTGTTTCATGTATATTGTGATGCCTGTGGACTGAATGTCAGGTGTAGTTGGTAAGTGTAAATGGTTGTGTGATAAAGAAGATCTTATAAGTATAGCAGTGCCGCCGTAGGCAGTGTTGTCGGGGTGGTCTGTCCTGTGTGTCACATAACCAGAAATACCGAATTTCGATCGTGTTAATAACTAAAGAGGTTATTTGAATTTTCAAGTAGAAACGTAAAATTTTCTTTTTCGAAGTTGAAAGAAGAAGGTGTGAAAGTGAACATACGTAGTTGAAGGTGATATCCACCGAAAAAATGGTTCCCAACCCAACTACAAATGTTGTGGTAAGGGACGAAAGGATGGACTTAATCGACGCT